TATCGAAAATCACGAAATTTGCAAAACCCGAGCCCCGGGCCCACTTCTCAAAAAATTACGAAACTCACATCACCGGATTCCTCGTCTCGCCACGAGTCCGTACATATTAAATTTACCAAAATCAGAGTTCAAATGACCCCTCAAATCTCCATTTAATTCTCTTAAGTTTCAAGCCCTAAACCACCATTTTTGTCTATAAATTACTTGAGTTTTTAGCTCTAATCCATATATTTAACTTGTAAATAAGTAGAAACAACTCACCTTTGATGCTTGATGAAATCCCCCTTGAAATCCTCTCCAAAATAATCCAAGCCAAATGAAAGAAATGAAAGAAATAAGCCAAATCCGTGTTTAAAGAATCTGCCCGTGTTTCGTCAAGTTGTACCTTGCACTTGTGCTATACAAGTTGTACATCCTATTAAAATTTTCCCTTTAAACACCCATAACGTCTTGTATAATTATTCAAATGACAAATGGTTTGAAGATTTAGAAACTAGACTCGAAGATCTTTAATTTGATAGGTTGTACACCATATAACTTTTTATATATCCTGAGATATGAGCTTCTAAAGCGCATCCGTAAATTCTGTCGAAATCGCTCTACCAGCCATTTTCGATCCATCATAACTTTCTGAGATAATATCCAAATCACGAATGGTTTAACTTTCTGAAAACTAGAATGTAAGGGCTACAACTTTCATGTTTTGCAATTTTCTGATTTCTTATAGATTACAAGATATGATCTTCCAAACTGGACACCTCGCGCCTGAAATTTTCTGGGCACAGCAGAAGCCTAAATATTTCTGCAATTTTTTTCAAAGATGAAATAGTTCGTTTAACCACCCAAAACTCACCCGAGTCCAGTGGGACCTCAACCAATCATGCCAACATATCCCATAACATCGTTCAAACTTGTTTCAACCTTCGTAACGCTCAAAACAATATCACAACACCAAATTCGTATTGGATTCAAACCTATGAACTTTGAAACTTCTAACTTCCACATCCGATGCCGAAACACGTCAAAACTAGTCCGAATGACCTCAAATTTTGCAGACAAGTCCAAAATAACATAACAAAGCTACAACAACTCTCGGAATTCCATTCCGACCCTCGAATCAAAATCTCACCTATCAACCGGAATTCGCCAAAATACTAACTTTGGCAATTCAAGCTTAATTCTATACCGATCATCACAAAAATATTCCGGACACACTCCTGAGTCCCAAATCACCTAACGACGCTATCCGAACCATAAAATTTGCATTTCGAGCTCTCTAACACATAAGTCAATATCCGGTTGACTTTTCCAACTTAAGCTTCCTTAAAAGAGACTAAGTGTCTCAAACCTTACCAAAATCATTCCGGAATGACTTCAAATTTTGCACACAAGTCACATTCGACATTATGGACTTGCCCCAACTTTCGGAATCGCATTCCGACNAACTCTAAAATGCCTTCCAACCCAAATTTATGAAATTCTTCTAAAATACTAACTTCCACAATATACGCCGAAATGCTCTCGGGTTATCGAAAACCAAATCCGGACATACGCCCAAGTCCGAAATCATCATGCGAACATGCTGGACTTTCAGATCCCAATTCCGAGGTCGTTTACTCAAAATTCCAATCTTAGCCATTTTTTTCAACTTAAGGTTGCCACAATGAAAAGTTTCTTTCCAATTTGACTCCGAATTTCCCGAAATTCAACTCTGACCATACGTACAAGTCAATACACCTGAAATGAAGCTGTTCATGACTTCCAACTGCTGACGATGCGCTAGAGATCAAAATGACCGGTCGGGTCGTTACAAAGGTGTATGAAAAAATTCTTCAATAAATTGGACTGTGTCTTTGGTTTCTTATGCATCTTCTGGAGGTAACAGAGAAAATAGAAAATTACGAATGCATGTACTATCATATTCTCAACAGTGGAGAGCCGAATGTTTGACACGGTTAGCATCTGTAATTCTTTACATCTTTTTCACCACACAGCATGAGAGATTAAAATTATAGAGAAAAAGTTTGACAAGTTGTTGTTGTGACTATGTGGATTTTCTGTTTTTCATTTTTTTTTATGAATGAAATAAACTGATATTACCCAAATCTATTTTGGGACTTGAAAATTTAAATGTGGTATAGAGAATTTCAGATACTTGAAGTATATTCTTGGTTCTCTTTGTTCTCATAGAATCTCCTTATCGCTAGCTATATATAATTGTGTCTCATTTGCTAAATTTTCATGAATTTCCAACACAATCACCCGAGAAAATAATAGTCTCAAATTTGCTTATAGATATTTGTATTTGTATGATACCTTTGGATGGAACATTACCAAAAAATTACGAGTTAGTTGACTGATGTATGGAGCTTCTGTAAGGTGATTGCTTTGAAAACATTCAAAATATGGATTTCTTTATTTAGATGAAATTTGTATGAATATTTCATACATGGGACAGTAACATTTAAACCTTAAGAATTTTGCTCCAACTTATGCAATTTGTGATTGTAACTACTTGGACTTGTCTCATTTTTGTTCAAAATATTGGACATAACTGCATTCAAGTTATTACTGCTTCTTGTATACAGGAAGTGACTAATTTGTGTTATTTTCTACTTTGATTAATAAATTTGGTACATTTGTGTGATCTTTTCATTTAAAGTTCAGTCCCTTTTGAAGAAGAGATACATGATAGAGACCTAAGACTCTAATGAAGACTTCAACATCTTTCAGGATGAAAACATTCTTCTATATGAAGACTTCAACATCTTTCAGGATGAAAACATTCTTCTATAGTCGTTAGCTTATAGGAAAACCTTGCCTTCTTCTTTAGGAAATATTGCTAACAGGTTATGGTGGTTAGGGATATTTTGGTAGCATTTTCAGCATCAACGACCTCTTTGAACATTTGCAGCGAGGTAATATTTGGACTTTTCAGTTCAAGAATTGAATGTCTTTGTTGAATTTCGAATCTTTTACTTTTCAAGAAAACATGTTTATGTTTTAAGATGATAGTTTGATTGAAGGATTCTATTGCATATAGTATAATTCTTTCATAACTTTTGTTCTGTTTATGGATTATAAATCTTGTTAATGAAAATTTGCTCACTCAAGATGGAGATTGTTTGGATTGGGTAATTCCTCTACATTGCAGAGATGATCTTCTTATCTTTGGAAACACTAAATTCTGATAGAATTTCCTCTTGCTCTTCAGGTGATTTTCGCTATATATTTTCTTTTTGTACAACTTGTCTATTGTTTGGAAGAAAATAAAATTATATTTTAAGGTTTCACACCATGCTAAAGTTTTATTTGACATATTTCTTCGATGATTTAATATTAGTTTACTCATGTTGTATAGACGAAATCTTTTCTGCCAAAGTTGACCCCAAAAACTTGAGATTGAGGGGAAGTCTCTACGAAGTGGAATGTAATGACAATGAAACTTTTCAGAGTAACAATGGAGATAGTTTGGGCAGGGGTAGTTCTTTAACATATAAAGACTATCGGCATGGCAGTTCATTTACATGTAAAACTATATAGATACTATCATCTTTACACTTAAGCATCTAATATCATAATGCGCAATGGATGTAAAGAATGTATTATTCGTCATAATGCAACATCATGATGAATATTTTGCTCTAAAATGTATGTAATAATCGAGCAATTAGTATATGATATTGTGCGATATTGTCTATCTAAATTGATACCACCTTATATGAATCAATTTTATTCTTTGAACTTTAGTATCAACGCAAAACTAACAAAAAAAAAATAAATGCTTCAACTTTTACAATATTGGGCCCGTGCTGGCACGAGCTACTACTATCTAGTCTATTGCAGAGAGGGTCTATCCATATCTAATATTAAGGTTTATTTTGATGCAAGTTCAAGTTCTACATATTGTTGGGTAAAAATATTTGCACATAAAATTACTTAAAAGTGATTAGGAGTAACTTAAAGAAATGATAAATAATTTGATATTCATTGTTGTGGTCAAACGCACACGCAAATATATGCACGATAAAGTTTTATCGAATATTAACTAAATTAGTCTATCACAATTATTTAAACAAGAATTAAACTTAGAAGTGGTAATGCTAAATAATTAAACTAAAATGAAAACAAATAGTGAATTCTAAACAAAGTAAAAACAAATTTTTATGTTATCAATGCGATGAAAACGACCTAAGATTATGGGTTATCTAACATTCCCATCATATTCTTCAATTGAATTGACTAATTAATTTATCTTGTTTATTAATTGTCGGGGATAATATTGCTCATAAGAATCTATCGAGTTCTTATTCGCCTATTCAAGCTAACCTAACGTTTATATGTCTACAGAGTCAGAATCAACATAAATGCATTCATAATTCCCGTATAATAACCAAGTAAGGAAATTAGCATATGGCTATCCTAACCGCAAATTTATTCCCCGATGCCCAAGTTCAAGAACTTTCTCTACTCAATCCTATGTGCAATCTAGAATTCTCACTTTTGAGTTCAATTCTAGATTCGTAGATAGTTCAGTTTGTGATAAAAAAATCAAATAATTAAGCGCATGATTGAATAAATAAATCAATACGACAAATCAAGAAATCAAAATCAATATTCGAATAACAATATTCATGAAAGAATCACAACTTTGAACATGCACTTTAGATCCATATAGACATGGCAGCCAAATAACTAATCATACAGAAAAATATCAAAATTACTAAGTTTGGTGGAAGAAAGATAAAATATGATGAATTCCGGCCTCCACGGCGGCTCATTCTCTCCCTTGGTCGAATTCCCTCTAAAAAATGTCCAACCCTTTTCTTAGACATGTTTAGGGATTATAGTCTAGGTTCCAAGTCTCCAACTTCAAAATTGAGTAGAAAATAATTTATTTGCCGACTGGGGGACCTGGTGAGGTGTTTTTGCCTTACTCTGATTTTCTTATTTTCGTGCTCTTTTCTTGTGTCTACGCCATCTTTTTGTGCAACTTTCATTCCTTTATACATTCCAATGATCCTACATATAAAAATAACTTACTTAAGCTCAAACATCGCACAATTAATATCACTACCCAAAGTTCACCTAGTCATGATGACAGTTAACCCAACCCGCTAGGTTAGCCAAACAACAGTCAACACAACTCAATGAGAAAAATAATGAAATCAATAAGTAAAACAACTGAGTTTCCAATAACTCAAGGATTGGTAGTACAAGTCATGAGCCACAAAATTAGATTTGCAAAGCTGATATGAAAATGTCACGACCCAAAATTTCTACCTTTGGGATCGTGATGGTGCCTAATATTTCACTTGCTAGGCAAGCCAACGTTAGATGTAGTTATTAACCATTTTTAACAAATTTCAAATACGATGGCAATAAAGAAACTGAATAGTCTAAAACAAGGTAAATAAACTAATAAGTGACGAAATACAAATCCCAAAACTGGTGTCACGAATACATGAGCGTCTAAGATACTACAGATAATGGTCTAAAATAAATATCACTGTCTCAATCACATAAACATGTAAAATAAGTAGAAGGGGACTTCAGGGTTGTGGACGTCGTGCAGTTGTACCTCAAGTCTCCTCTGAATAGCTGAATTCGAATAAGTCTAGTGAACATCGTTGGACCAACTCTGGTATCTGCACAAGAAGTGCAGAGTGTAGTATGAAACTGACCTCATGTACTCTGTAAGTATCGAGCCTAACCTCGACGAAATAGTGACGAGCTAAGGCAGATCTACATTAACATGTACGCAATAATAATAATAATAATAATAATAATAATAACAATAGCATAAAAAATAGAAATAGAAGTAAAACAGGTAATCATATCAACGAACTCAAAACCACCTAACAGAGAGTTCCCAATGACAAGTCATATAACTCATCTCAATAACCGATGCCAATCCAACTGTCACAAAAAATATACTCCCTCTGTTACAATTTATGTGAACCTGTTTGACTGGGCACGGAGTTTAAGAAAAAATAAAAACTTTTGGAATTTGTGGTCCTAAACAAGTCAAAAACTTATCTAGAATACTTGTGTGGTTGTAAAAGCTTCTCATTAAGGGTAGAATTGGAAGTTTAAGCTAAATTGTTTCCATATTTAGAAAGAGGTCATTCTTTTTGGAATGGACCAAATAGGAAATAGGTTCACATAAGCTGGAACGGAGGGAGTAACTTTTATCAATATGTTGCGGCGTGCAACTCGATCCCACAATATCAACTTTAAATAATTTGTTGCGATGCGCAGCCCGATCCCACCATATAATCATCTGTCAACATCATAGCCCGTCCTTATTCCACTATTTCAATTAATTATCTTTTAATTTCCGTAGCGGCAACTTGCTCCCCAAACAAGTTCAGTTAACAATAATAACTCAATAGTCAAGATTTACGAGAAACCATACGTCAAGAGAACAAATGGACGAGCAATAGAGAATAACATGATAACCGAAGAGACTCGGACTACTCGAATTTCTAAGCTTTACAAACTCAACCGTATCTACCATTTAACAATGCGTTCAAGTGAAACTACATCAATAAAGTCAACAATTAATCCAAAACTATAAGGCATAAGACAATTTTTAGATATGTAAGAGAAGCAAATAAAGATAAATAATAAATAAGCATGGAATTATGGAGGGGTGGAAAAATTAATACAAAAAATACTAAATGGCAAGTAGCAATTTGTGACGATCCGATTAGTTGTTTCATGAGTTACCCCTCCGTTTTCCCTATTTCTACTTCTTTATACTTCGTTATCCGTGTTTTATGGTACTGAGTTGGTCGGATCGAATCCGGAATGATTTTTGTAATGTTTGAGACACTTAGTCTCTTTTAAGGGAGTTTGAGTTGGAAAAGTCAACCGGATGTTGACTTATGTGTTATAGGGCTCGGCTGTGAGTTCCGATGGTTCGGTTAGCTTCGGCAGGTGATTTATGGCTTAGGAGTGTGATCAGAATGGGTTTTGGAGGGTTGGAGTAGTTTTAGTATTGAATTGGCAAAATTGGTATTTTGGCGATTTCCGGTTGTTAGGCGTGATTTTAATATAGGGGTCGGAATGGAATTCCGATTGTTGCAGTAATTCCATTGTGTCTTTTGGGATGTGTGTGCAAAATTTCAGGTCATTCGGACATGGTTTGGTTAGGTTTTTGATCGAAAGCGTAATTTGGAAGATTTTAGAAAATTTGGCTTGGATCCGATGTGTTTTGGTTAATTTAATGTTGTTTGAGGTGTTTTGAAGATTGGTACAAGTTTGAATAAGGTACTAGGATATGTTTGTGCTTTTGGTTGAGGTCCCGGGGGCCTCAGGGTGATTTCAGATGGTTAACGGAGGAGTTGAGATGTTATTGCAGCTGCTGAAGTTTTGCTGCTTCTGGTGTTTTCGCACCTGAAGTTTAGGGACCGCAGGTGCGGCGCCGCATAAGCGGAGATTTGACCACAGAAGCGGGAGAGGTTTGAGGAACAGGAAACCGCAGAAGCGGCTAATGGGATCGCATCTGCGGAATCGCAGATGCGGAGGGAGGTTCGCAGATGCGGAATGGTGAGGTAGAGTCAGGAACCGCAGATGCGGTAGAGGGACCGCACCTACGGAGTCGCAGATGCGTCAAGTGGACCACAAATGCGGTATTTTGTCCGATAAGTAAATTTCGCAGAAGCAGAGAATTAGACCGCATATGCGGTACTGCAGAAGCGGGTTTTGGACCGCAGGTGCGGAAAGGCCTGGACAGAATATATAAGTTATTTCATTTCGCGAAATTGAGCTATTCCACCATTTTTGACTTCGACTTTGAAGCTTTTTGGTCAATTTGAGAGGGGGATTTCAAGAGAACTTTATTAAGGTAAGGAATTTGGACCTAAAACTCGTTCTTATGCTATTATTTCATGGATTAGGGCTAGAAATTATGGAAATAAAAGGTTTAAATTGGGGAAACTAGGGCTTGAAAACTTAGGCCTTTAATTGTGAATATGAAGGAGTATTTCGGGTCGAATTTGAGAACTTTTGATATGTATGAACTCGTCCGGAGATGAGGAACCTATTGATGTAAAGATTATCGAATTTCGAGACGTGGGCCCTGGGGTCGGGTTTTGGTAATTTCGGGATTTGTACCCTTTATTGATTGTTTTCGCTTGGGCTTCGTTCCCTTAGCATATTTTGTCATCCTTGTTCTGATTTTGGGTAGATTTGACGCGCACGGAGGCTGATTCGAGGGACAAAGGCGTCGCGAGCTAGAGATTTAGCCGGTTCGAGGTGAGTGATGATTGTAAATGATGTTCTGAGAGGTTGAAACCCCGGATTGCACATCGTAGTGATATATTGAGGTGAGGCACACGCTTGATGACGAGCGTGGGGTCGTGCACTATTGGGGATTGTGTCTTGGTCCACCCGATTGATGATTTTACCGCGTATTTGATTGAAAACTATTTGCTATCATTATTATTTGGGCTGAATGCCATATTTGGGCCTAGTGCCAACTATTTGAACCCTTCGGGGATTTTTATTGATATTTCCTCACTGTTTTGACTTTATACTTGAACTTACTCATGTTATTTTCCACTGTTTTACCATTCAGCCATGCTTACTCTATTTTAACACTTACATGATCTTTTAAACGATATTTTTGAGCTGCGAATCATGTTTTACTATTGCTCGAGTGGCTTGTGAGGATTTT